CCCCCCCCCCCCCGCGGGCTTACAGCTTCTTTCTTGACGTTCTTCGCTTCGACATTGCTGCTGATGTTTGTAGCGTGGCGTCTTGACTGTTAAAGGGTGAGCTGGTGGTGACGGGAAAATCTCTACGCTGTTTCCTTGAAGAACACAGAGAGAGAAGGTTGCGGATAGATAGCGGAACGATTTACCAAAAACGACGGCAGCAGCAGGAACAACAACAACGACGGCAACGAATCGTCCGACTGACGGCCATTCTATGTCGCGCTACCCTCATGGCCGAGCTACATTTCTGTAAACAAAGGAAACTTCCTTACCGCCGTTTGTACTTGCGAGCATGATCGATTGCATCCTCTCCACCCGCCGCTGACGTTCCGATTTAACAGCCCACACCGGACATTGTAGAATTACAGTCTACACCGTAAGGTTTCTTGTCGCCCTTTCTCTACATGGACCATTGTGATGTCTCTGGCTTTTTCTCCGCCGCCGTTGTGAACATGCACCGATCAACGTATTAGATTGGGACCGTGTGTTTGGTGTACACGTCGGTCGGTGTGATACACGGAGTCTCCCTGGGGGTTGGTACGTGTGTGATCTTATTCTTCGGGAGTTACGGAGTCCCCTGTGCGTTGGGCAGTACACGACTGATGCCCTGGTAAACGGAATCACGCCATGTACATCTCCACACGGATCGGCTGCAAGGGTGTTAGGTCTGGTCATCGACCGAACACAACAACACCGTGACATTCCAGGCGTACGAGTCGTTCGGGGGGCTGCAGGCGGTGACGGACCACCCTACCATGTGGGTTGGCCTTGGTTTGCTCAAGGAGAAGGAGGCATGTCAGCCTGGCGTTGCGGCCACTAAGCGGCGGAGGCTTCTTTCGCAGGTGTGAGCTACCGCTAGGGTTGATGTGTGTGCTCTTGTTGTTGTTGTTGTTGTTGTTGTTGTTGTTGTTGTTGTTGTTGTTGTTGCTGTTGTGATTCTGCAGCAAGGAGAAAGCTGTTATTTCAGGTTTGATCTATTAAGGGCGATGAGGGCGATTGCAGTGGAGGGTGCGTGTTTACTGTGCAGGATGCTCATGTTGCAGAGACTTATCGTGTGCTGACTTTAACGCTGGACGTTCGTTTGGCGTTGTAGCGATCCCGTCTCCCTGTGTCAGCTGCAACAACCTGACTGTTTGTTTTTCGTAATTTCTGACTTACAGAAGCCTAAGATGCATCAAGTCCAACTGCTTTTCGTTGATGTTCCTACATCCCATGGTCACGATGCATACTGTATGTCGTACAACTCTTTACGGATATCCGTTGCGCTTACCTTTTTCCCCCAAATAAAACCCATCACGATCTACATTTGACCCGCATACTTGCCTTGTAACGCTATACCTCAATGTTTTGTTTAGGCGAGCGATGCGTACTACTCTTCCCTGGAGACAGGGCAGCACGTGGATGGGCTACTGGGGCTGGGTACGACGGCGGGACAGACTCACAGTCAGGATGATGCCCTCGTCGCGCTACAGCAGCACCTCGACCTCAATCCAACCAGTGCTCAGGTCAGTGCTGCGGATGCTGTTGTTGTTGCTGCTGCTACTTACATCCGTCTGCTGCGGCTGATCCGTCTGCTTCTGGTTTGTCTTTGACAAGGTGATACACACAACACGAGTTGTACTTTCCACTTGCGTTTCCCCTAAATTTTGGCAACGCTGGTCGTTGGAATAGTGCGCTTTGCGTGTCCAGAGGGTTCCATCGCCTATGCATACATAGTTATGTTGCTAAGATCGCTTTCTTGATGTCGTCACGTCACATGGGCCGATCGCCCCCGTCTACAGCTCATAATGGTGGTGCATCTAAGCCGTGCCCAACTGGTCACCCATGACATTAGTGTAAAAGCACATTTCCCCCCCCCCCGCCCCCCCCAATTCGGCATTATTATATTTAGGCTTGGAACTACCTCGGGGCTGCCTCAGAGCTCGCAGGCAGAGGTACCCAAGCCGTCGCCGCCTACCGCCGCGCTCTGGGGTTACTCGAGGAGCAAAGGGAGAGGTTCAAAGCCACGGTCGGAGCTGAAGGAGGCGAGGTGTGGGAGGGGGCGGTGGCACTTACGAAGGGGAACGTGGGGAGAGCGCTTGTGCTGGTGGGGGCAGCGGAGGAGGCTGTGGCTTGTCTTGGGGAGGCTGAGCTTGCACAGGTTTGTATCAGACTATCGTTATTCGTTGTCGTTTCTACAGTTGTGGTGGTTATGGTTGTGATTGTCTTTTATCGTTGCTGATGGTGATGGCATTGCGTGGAGCAAGTTACCTTGTTGGCCGGTGTTTGGGAAATGACCTTAATTTGCCCGTCTTGTTGCACCGGGGGACAGAAACGTGTTTCAAAACATGTTTTCGTCGATGATGTGTCGATGATGCATGTAACCCTAGGTAGGTGATCAACAAAAGTGACTCGTCTAAGAGTGTACATCGATTTCAGAAGATGCTGACATAGATGAGGTTGGTTTGTGTCTGGTCGAACACTGCCCCGCAGGCGGATAACGCGCTACAGCTTGGGCGTGCCCACGCACTGCTGGGTAACTGGGACACCGCCCTTGCTGCCCTCGAGGAGGAGGTAAGGGCAATCGAATCGTCAAGCTCTGAGTCGGTTCGATAGTGGAAGCGATTCCTCAACAGCAGGTTGCGGTTGGGGATGCGATGCAAGATGAGCGTTGGATAGCGAACATTGCGTGGGAAGTCATGGAGCTAGTATTTGCGACCTCTTTCGGGAGAAATATCATATATCAGCTCGTGGACAGAGTCGGTGCACACCAGCATGTCCAAATTTCACATCCTACACCAGTGACAGCCCGTCCCTTTGCCCTCGTGGGCGCGGTGTTGACGACTCTGTCCTTCATACTCAGGGGCATATTGGAGGTAATATGGTAAGGTAGACGGTAGACATTGGGTTAGATTTGGAGATAACTCTTGTCGCTGCCATACCCCACTACCCCACTGTGACACTATTGCACTTTGCTCCGTGTTCTTGGTTCGGATCCCGAAGAGTCCTCTGGGAGTGGATGGCCTAATCTCCGGTGCGGCCGTGAGGTACCTCCGAGGAGACACTAGCGGCGCAGCGGCGGCGGCAGGCACCCTCATGGCACAACGTCCGGGGGACCGGCGGGTGCTCCACACTGTGGTCTCTTTGGCAGCTCTCGTCGGTGATTCGGGCCTGGTGCAACAGGCCTCTCGTGCTATGCAGGCGAGGGAGGCATTGGGGTGATCAGAGTATTTAAGGCATGCATGCTTTTGTTTGTGAAGTCAACAACAAAACCACGTGCGACTTGGTACTTCGTACGACACAGGAACAGACAGTGCAATCGAGATTTACGGGATCAGATAGTCTCATCTCTCGAAGTCTCTTCCGTTAGCCGCGTCTATTGATGGCGCCGTGTAGGGTCAGGGTCAGGGTAAAGGGTTTTGGCTTCCGAGTTGTTTATCTTGCAGCAGATTCAAGCGACTGGAGAACGCCACAGCAGCACTTGCCCATGTCTTGCCACATGTTCAGTGTGGCCTTATCCGGTGCAGTCGACCTCCTCCCTTATTGTCCGTGTGCGTGTTTTCCTTCCGACTACGGCTGTGTGTGGGGAATCCCTATCCCAAACCCATGTCGCTGGTCCCTTCATGTTGGTGGATTTTCCATCGCCAGACCCTGCTTGGAGCGACCCACTCCGTCTACCACTTGTGTTTCACGAACCTGTCGTCCACGATAAGCCTGGTCCACCGTACCACCCCCAAGTCCCATCACCACGAGGCCCCTCTCCAACCATGTGCTGTCGCCGTGCTCCATACGACGATGCTTCGTTGTTGCTGCAGACTTTGCCGAAGAGGGCTACCTCCAGCGATCACGGGGGGAGCTTTGCTCGCCAACACGCTGCGGAGGAAGACCTTTGGGCGATCCACCTCGCTATGAGAGCAACGGGTTTTCCGGATTCCGAGAGCAGGTGAAACATTATTTTATTCAGCTTCAAGCTTTTGTCAAAACGAACAACATGTGTGCATTGCAACAATTAGAATCGTAGCTACGAATACTCTACACACGCGGAACAAAAAGGCAAACGCTCACTTGAGCACATAGGTTCGGATGATGATAATGATGATGATTTGAGAGGCGCACAACGAACATACCTCGCCAGATAAGACCACGATGAATGGTAGGTAGGCAGGACATAGATGTCCCACCATCGTGGAGACCCTGCCAGCGACAGTTGACAATGATCCTTAAATTTATCCGGCGGAGTGTTCATGGTTTGTCACGACCTTACTCCCAAACTACTTGCCAGTTTCAAGCCGTTTTTTTTTTTTTTCTGTCGCTACTGGTCAAGCATCCCCGAGGGAAAGGTGGAGAATGAAAACGAAAACCATCGACGGTGTTGACCTCATTCCAGTTTGGCCACAGCTGTTGCCTCTATACACATTCCGAGAGGCGTATGCGGTCTGGCGCCCAGAATAACTGGAACGGGAACACTCACACATTCACACTGGTCGGATGAATGGGGATGTTCTGGGAAGATGGCTCTCACTACCGACATGCTTTGATTCATTTTGTCTCCTAAGTTCATCACGGCACGTTCCTGCTGCGTCCATCCCCAAGAAAGTTGCGTCTTTTTTCTCCGTCCTGTGCACCCTTGCAATGGTTGACCGGTAGAATTTACGCCGCGCGTTTTGTCGTCGTTGTGCCGCTTGTGTTGCACTTGTCATTTCTCTGTTCGTTGTCAGCACTCGTTGTCAGCACTCATTTTTGCTGGCCGTGTGATGACCACTTGTTTTCGTCCCGCGCAGGCGAGCGCTGTTGAAAGCGGTTCACCTCTCTCCATCGTCGATCACATCGTGGGCAAGACTCGGCGCTGCCACCGCAGACTCCGCCGCCGCCACAGACGGCCGGGGTCGGGTTTCCGCTAAGGTCGGCGAGGCGTGTCTCTCGGCGGCGGAGAAGCTGGCCATGTTTGAGTTGCTCGGGGTGGCGAGAGATGCCGGAAGTGGCGGTGGCGGTAACAACGGCGAGGAGCTGGCCGCGAAAGATCTGGGTACGGCCCTGTCTGGCATTGCCAAGACCGTCCTATGCAGCGGTAGGTGTAGCGGGGGCGGCGGCAAGGGCAAGGCCGGAAATCGCAGCAGGGCCGTGCGTGCAACGTCTCGCGCGGTGCACCTCTACCCTGGGGAACCGTCGTCGTGGCGGTACCTAGCTAGGGCAATGGTGAGTTCCGTACCTTACACGGACAGTTCTGGTCTGTCTACAGCGAGCGCTTTCTGTTCCTAACCTCGCTGGGGGGAAGATTGCGGTATGGTGCGGGCGGGTCGGTTGTCGAGGCGTCCGCTGGACAGGAGGGTAGTAGACGACCCTTCAGTCTGAAAGTATGGAAAATTGGATGAAGGTTTTGTTGGGACTCGGGAGTAGAGTGTAAAGCACACTGCAGTTCTGTCGGTGCTCCCTTTCACGTGGGCTACATACGAAGGAGTAGTCTCGATCGACATGGCACTCCCTCCCCCTTAGGTGCCCGGAGGCTGGTCTGATGATTGGCCGTATGCGTAGTAGTTCTGCTGTTGGTTGCTGGACAGCGAGAACAATGGCGAGAACAATGCACACGTTCTAGATTCGGAGAGAGGATGGATGCAGTAGGTGGCGCTCGTCCGTGGGCAGGAAACACGGGATCGGGGCAATAGAAAGAACAGGTACGCTATGCCGATTCAGCTCAAAGCCGGAGGTACGTCGTGTAATGTCCTGTCCCTCCCCCTATCGATTTTGCTTGGGACGGCAGGTGGGTGAAGCACTCTCTTGGGTCTACAAGAGCCCAGGCACGCGAGACGTGATGCTTCGCGACGCCCACTCCCTTTTCCGGGGTATTCCCAAGCCTAAGTCTGATTCTGGGCCGACGCGGGGCGATGGTAGCCAAGATAGCCTGCTCCGTGCAGAGGCGGACTACCTTCAACTACTTCTAGGCCAGAAGAAAACTCACGACGGCAGCAGCACGGGCAAGTCATGGTGGTCTTCCTTTCGTTATACTGATTGTTTGTTTGTCAGATCGTGTTTGGCTTGTTAGGCGTTGCGTGCATGTAGCTTAGGGCATGTTTCAATGCCGAGCGCCAGAACAAGTGCTCACTGCAAGCTGGAGCTCATGGACCTTGAGTTTTGGCTAAGGCTGATAAGATTAACTCGCCATTTGATTGGCTGGCGGCCCATGCTTCATAATGAGGATATCTCATTAGTACGAACCACTTCATCTGTGGTATGGTAGGCGGACTCTCACCTGGCCGGTCATTCCCCACCCCCGCTCCCCACCCTGACCTCGTTATGTTTTTGTATGTTTTTTTGCATGCGCGTGTGTGTTGCACGTCCTGGTTGTTTGGACCTACACCTCACCAGAGTCCTTCCCAGCCGCTCTCATGGCCGCAAGGTTGGCGGCTCACGGTGGTGTTGATGGACACGGTGGACATGAAGACGCGATCAAGAGGTGTGATGTTTGTTTGTTGACGACTGCTGTAGATGAAGATGAAGCGCACGCGAGGCGTACGGACGTGGTATGATATGGATGATATGCGTGGCATGCGTGATATGTATGGTATGTATGATACATACGATATGTATGATATGAGGGGAGCGAACACCAACGGCAGCTGCAGTAGGCTGTAATAGCTTTGCGGCTAGCTCTGATGGTCCCCGTCTGTGGACTTTCAACCCCGACCCGTCTTAGGTTGTTTTGGTACTACTGTGGCGAGCCTTTTTTTTTTTGGTTGGGCTCTCACGCCCGAAGTCGGTACTTCGCAACTGAAACCAGCGCCCCTCTCGATAGAATCAGCCGTTGAGGTTTGGACTCGAGTTGCCAAGGGGGGTACGCGAGTTCTTGAAGGAGGGTACCCGGTTCGAGCCCCAAGTGCATCGCCAGGACAACTCCCCACTCCCCACCACTCACAGAGAACGTGTCGTCCGTATCTACTAAGTAGACGTTCTTGCTACTTGTGTCTCTGATAATCGGCTGAAACGCTGACTTCTTACCCCCGGGAGGAGCACGAGTTCTTGGTGATGGTGGGCACGGAACACATGTTGGAACATCACATCTCCACTGGACGTTGTTGTACCTTTACGCGTTTTAATGTGTTTCAGGGTGCAAAAGCCACGGTTGTTGCCTAGGAGGAAGGACCCCACGATCACGAGTTTGTGTTACTTGGTTGTCCTTCTGCGGCAATCTACTTGCCTTACGTTTGGGTGCGAGAGGAGCCGTTCTTTGCCTCACATTGACCTTGGTTTTTGAAGTTCCGGCACGCACGAATTTCTCTTTGTCCACGCTTACAAGGGGAAATATGTGAGAAGAATCAGTTCCTGTACGCGTGACGGCGTCGAGATTCGAAGTCACGCGCATGTCCAGACATGAAAAGGTTGTAAGGTTAAGGTTATCCACTGAACCGCCCGCGCGACAAGCTCTGCACCCAAACGATAAGTCGATGTCATTATCCCCCCTCGAGCCACCCACTCATCAACCCCATCCGACGTCCGACGTCGCTGAGCCGTCACGCTGTTCCGTTCCTTTTTCTCCTTCCGCACGCCGCAAAAAGGTACAAGCTCGCGCTACGTGAGGAGCCAAGGGCGTTGGTGGGCTGGCGTGAGCTCGCAGTCTGCTACCAGCTCTCGAACCAACATAACGCCGCGACAGCCGCCTTAGAGTGCGGCGCACAGGCAGCCGGCCCGGCTGGCAGCGGTGATTGCGCTAGCAGCGGCAAGCGGCGTAGCGTTTCGGCGACGGCCGCGCCCTTGTACCTCCAGCTGGCTGCAGGCACGCTGATGATGTCGCCGGGGGAAGAGGATGCGGGTCTGGCGGCCGTCGGAGACGCCTTTCGGCTCGGAAAGGGGGGAGCGGTCGGGCATGTGCTGCGCGGGCTGTTATATTCGGGGCTAGGGAAGGATAGTCTGGCGGCTGGGTCCTTTTCTAAGGCAAGGGAGGCTGGCCTGGACCCGGCTGTAGCCGCCCTCGCGGATAAGGTTTCCGTCCCACGGGCGGGACAGGGAGGGACACAGAAAGATGCTGTTGTGTAGCTTGCTCTTGCCACCCGCGAGCAAGTATTGGTGGATGCCAATTCCATACTTTCGCACGAGCAATCGCTATGTAGAAAGATAGAATTCCCTCGCGTAGATACGGACGGTGCTTATTTTGCAGGACCTGTCTTGGGGGGCGGGTGAAGAGGGTGTTGTTTGGTATGACATCTGTGAGAAGAGAGATATGCATAGGTGGGAGTCAACCAGCTGTTCCACGAGTGCCGTTTTTGTTGTGATCAAGAGAAGGGTACATTAAGGCAATCTTGGTGTTTCCCCGAATTTCTTGCTCGGATAGTCTGGTCTACATACAGCAGTGTCACATAGCATGACATATATCAGCAGTGTAGAAAAATAGATGTGCTGACGTTCTGTCCGCCGACCGACGGAAGAGGAAAAAGAAACAGACTCCGCCGGTTGTCACATGCACCAAATATCCAAATATCGCCTCTTTCGTGTATACTGGTGAGTTATTGCTCTTCCCCGGTTAGTCACTTGCATTCAGCAGAACTGCAACAGACAGCATGATGTGCGCCGACTGGCGGCTCTTGCGAGGAAGCGCACAACAAAGACAATGACCCCCCTTTTTCCATTTTTTTATTTTTGCGTGAAACAACAACCGGTACGGCTACCTACCGGAGGGGTTTATTTTTATGTTAATTAGTCTGTTCGCCAGAAAAATGTTCGCGCGAAGAATCGCCTCCTTCCCATGTACTCCCCTTCTTCCCCTCGCTGCCTCGGCAACGCTTTGCGTAGGCATGACCCATAGCGAGGCAGCACTGCGCGCAGCAAAAAAAATATATATATATGGAAAACGAGGCCTCCAACGGAAACGTGTCCCCCCCCTGGAAACCCTGTCAAACAAGCGGCGAGATCCGCGCAGTGCTCACCGTACATCAACGTTGACAGAGGGCGAAGCAGGAGCGTAGGCGTCCAATTTCCGACAAAAGTGCGCTGGGTTACTCATACACTAGAAGTCGGCGAGGCTCTTTGGACCAGTTATGCCACGTAGCAGTATATACCCGGAATATTATCTGGGCGTACCACCAGAAGACAGCCATCGACATCACGTACCCAACAGCAGTTAACACCCCAGTCTCTTCATGACTCCGGCTTAATACAGCCACGTTAGGGTTGTGCCATGTACTCAGGTTACATTCCTATCTATTGCAAAAAAAATTGCTTCATTGGGTTCAGAGACACTTAAGCATGACGAGGTCAAAACTCACATTTGTTGTTGGATCCCGTGGATGGTTGCAGCATCCGTAGTCACGTGTGTGCACGGCGGTGGGTGCACTTTCACGAGGTTGGCATGATGCAACGAAACCTCGATTGTTGTATCTCCTAAATCTCATGTACCCACCTATTACGAGAGGAATTAGTTCATTTGGTACAGAGACACATGATAATGACGAGGTCAAATTCAAAGCTTGTTGTTGGATGCCGCGGGTGATGGCCAGCAATCACGTCCATGTGTTTGTATGACCCTGGGTGCATGAACATAACGTGGACAGGCCACAACTAAACATAGATTGAGAGACAAACTCTGCTCACATGCCCACCTATTGCAAAAGTAATTACTTCATTTGGGTGAGAGACACCAAAGCATCACGAGTCCAAACCTCGAAATGCCCACGGTGGATCCTACCCATGTGTTGGTAATCATCCGCACGCACCTGCGCGGCCTGGCGCGATGCACATCGTAATCAGGCCCCAACACAACGCAAAAACATAATATTAGTGCGTGGTGCATCTGGCGCACTAGCATACTACGAAACGATGCCCAATCTTCCAAGTCCAGTATTCGATCGGTTCTGAATGCTACTGCCACCCACGTTTCGTCATATGTGTGGTTCGGCGTACCCGTTCGTCCTGGCCACATGTCAAAGGAAAACACTAGAATTGAACACGTTGATCTGGAAACTGCCACCGACAGTTCGAGGCGGCACCACGAAGAAGAGCACCGCTGTTTTACAAACTTGGATACTGACCACTGACCAATTTTCGTTTCTTTTGCGTGACGATACCCTACCTCGATTTCAGGGTGGTTTCATGATCGTCTGCAATCACGCAGACCCATGGCTAACCGGGACAGAAGACGTGGTGCGCTGCACCCCCCTGTTCTGTTCCCACCGGCGGTGGGGGGTTACACACCGCCCGTGTCCCCGCGGCATCCGGCCGCTGGCCAGCGGACGGAGGATCCATCCTCTCCAACTGCTGCGAGAGGCAACGAAGGGAAACGCGACGTCGCGGGAACGCTGGGGGGGAAGTACAGACACCGAGGCCAAGTAGAGCGAAGCGCCAGGCGCAAGATTCAGGCGCGCAGTCGAAAGGTTCGGGGCGAAGATCAGGGAAGAAGCGTCAGGCGAGGGCGAAAGCCAAACGTTCTTTGGCTCTACTACAACCGCAGTTGCAGCAGAGGATTGCAGATATGGACGGAAGGGTGTTTCCAGAGGAAAAGTGGCAAGAGATTCTCGGTACCCCGGCAACGGCGTCAGAGAAGATGCGGGAGTTTATCCTGTACTTCGTCAAGAAGGACAAGACGAAGAAGAGATCGACCAAAAATAAGATCTTCTCCATCCCGGCTGTAAACACAGAGAACAAGTCGACGAGGAGCAAGGGGAGGTCGTCAAAGCTGAAGGATACAGTTGGCAACGCCTACGCGGGGGGGCAAGAGATGAAGTCGGTGGTCCTGAACATCTGGGATATAATAGAACAACCTCTCATTCCTCTCTTCCCACATACTTTTCCTCGCTCTTTGTCTTTTTGTCCTTTTTTTCTCTCTTTTTGTCTTTTTCTCTCTTTTCTATGCGAGATGGCCTTGTCTCTGCTTGCGTTGTGATGTACAAAGACTGAACCAAGGGGTGTACCTCATTCTCTCTGGCCCGTGATGGTGTCCCTAGTCTCAGTTGTTACCTCGTGCAAGCGCGCAGAGGGAATGGAGGACTCCAGAATATCTGTAGTTGATTTCTATTGACTTGCGGACCCCTCGGGGCAATTTTATCTGTTGGGTGTATGTACCTTTTAAGGGTATGTATGTCAACCTACGACGACGGGAATCGACCACGTCGAATATTGGATCAGTACGGACATACGAAGGTACCGGGTGGAGAGAGAGATCGGAACGGTTTTAATGTGAAGACAACAGCAACAACAACAACAACATACAAATGATGTAGATGCATGAAATGATACACTCTGTCTTTACTCATGGTCCGCGCTGCCTAAAAATATATGGGAAATGTAGCTATACCTTCTGCCGACACACGGGCGAGAGAGGCGACCATACCCACTGCATTTAACACACACCCACATGTCAGTGATGACACCCCAACCACACGCCTCTATCGGCGGCCACGTCNTTGAACGACATCCCATTACACATAGGACGAAAACACACACACACGCACAAGGTAAATATGTTCTACCGCGCCGCCATGCCCCCATACATCACAAACAAAAAATATGTTGATGACGAAACTATACACAACCCGAAACGCGCTTGCTCCGCAACCACATAAGGGTGCAAAAATAGAACACCCGACAAACCGAGTTCCCCTAAATCTTCCGTCTACAACTTTCCAACATAACATACAGGTTGATAAACAAGATGGCTACCAAACTGCCTTGTTGAGCCTGTTACCCACAGGGGANACCACGTCTGCAGGCAACGATGAGATAAAGTTCTCCCGTGCCCTCCTCACCACATTGAACGACATCCCATTACACATAGGACGAAAACACACACACACGCACAAGGTAAATATGTTCTACCGCGCCGCCATGCCCCCATACATCACAAACAAAAAATATGTTGATGACGAAACTATACACAACCCGAAACGCGCTTGCTCCGCAACCACATAAGGGTGCAATAATAGAACACCCGACAAACCGAGTTCCCCTAAATCTTCCGTCTACAACTTTCCAACATAACATACAGGTTGATAAACAAGATGGCTACCAAACTGCCTTGTTGAGCCTGTTACCCACAGGGGAGTTATCGTTGTATGCTGTCTGGGAAACCGTAGACATACAGGTAGCCTTTCGCTCACGCTATGGATTCATTGCTAATCTATCTTAGACGTATTCTATAGATAGAGATGGATTTGTTGTGTGATATTAAGAAAAAAACAAAAAACAAAAATAGGATACCACTAGATTTATTATAAACTCAGATTCGGGGCGGGAGGATTATTTTGGTCCATTCAGCAATATGCCAAATGTATGCCTGTGCCCCAGCCATGTTGAAAACTCAGCCGATCACGGAAAAACTGCGGACCGCGGTCTCCCACGAGGGACTGTAGGCTTGGGACGAGATCTCCGGTGTCGTAAGCTGCTGTCTCCTGTACACCCACACTCTGGCACGAAGGCCCTCGGTGCAGCCTTGCTGCTGCTACACGTTGTGATCGCCAGAGCTCTGCCTGCTGCGGCCGACGCAAGGTCAACCATGCTGACCCTTGACCCGCGGAAAAGAAGTTGGCTGTCTTGATGTACCAGCGGAAGAAAAGCATCAACTTCTCCACCGCCGCAGCTCTCGGCGATGATGACGACGACGTAGAGGACGAAGAGGAAGAGCAACCAAGACGTACCAGCAACAAAACCCGGTTCGAAGCTTTCACCGCCGCGGCGACGACGCGCTCGCCTGCTGTGGTGGACAGTCGTGATGCTGACGAGTTGGAGGAGGATATGCGAGGGGTCTAACCTATCGGCATACACTGAAGAAGCTCGGACCTCAACTCCCTGGCATCGGCAGGGGTAACAGCGCCGCGAACGACACTGCCAGTCAGGCACGTCTGCCCCTTCAGGTTCACTAGCGAGGAGGGTGGGATCTATGATGCCCACAGTAGCAGCCAGATTCGTTACAAAACAGGGATGGAGAAGGACGAGTTCGACGCCTTTTACGAAGACACGTTCCTGGATCCTGAGGGAAACCGTCTCGCCCGCTCATGGCTGTTTGGGCAAGCTCGGAACCACCTTGGAAACTACTCGGCGGAGGACAACAAGGCCAGGCGGGTCATCCGGGGGAGCATGGATGGCAGAGACCGATTTTTGTGCTGGCTGGAGATGCTCAGGAGGGACACTTGTTCGAGGACATGGCCCCCGAATATGGACGGTGTGCTGGGACGTATCACAACGACTTCAAGGACATGACGGCGGCCGCGCAGAACATGCATTGTCTGCAAGAGGTGAGAGTGCATGCATTGATTTGCAGTTGTATTCTACAAAACACAAAATTGACTCATGATACGCTGAAGAATTCGGAGTGGGAAGTGATATTTGGCATGACTCGAGGGATTACAGCCATGCGTACACCTCGTGTTACTGCAGAACCGTCAGCGGAAACAGGCCGACGCTCGACACCAGCACCAGCCCGTCACGATCCCACCGCAATGTGCCATCAATCTCTTAATCTGACGCGTACACGCTCCCTGTCAGCGCGTGGAGGAGTTGTGTAAGGAGAGTCTGCTATGCGCGATAAGTTCATACTGTATTTCAAGATGAAGTTGACACATAGGTTCTCTAGGCTTCCATGGTCGTGTGGTACAGGAGATCCAATGTCCTGACGCAGCGGAGCGGGCCGCTCATTGCACTTTCCTTCAAACCTGGGGTCATCCGGATTTCCCTGGTGTAGCTTACATCGCCGACGGCACCATGGTGAACATGTGAAACCCTGCCAAGGTAGGACTTAAAAGGCTAGCACCTACGTTGGTTGCTCATGTGTGACATGCATAACGTGGGTAAAAACTTGCTTAGTGTTTTTCGCAGGGTATCTCGAAAGAATGGATATGCATTAGCCCGTGCGGATTGTCTGTCTATGCGACGTTGGTTTTCCAGACCTGTGCTGGTTGCGATGGGCTCTGTTGGTAGGCCGCTCTCCCCCCTCTTTACCCTATGCTACAGTTTGAACTATTCGCCTTTCGTGCGCATGCGGGGCATTTGTTCACACTCTCTCGCCCGCCGCTTGAATCCCGTGCAGGTCGGCAAGGGACAACCAGAGCCTCACGCCCCGGTGCATCAGGCGAACTACTCCGGTAACAAGGGCCTTGGAACTAGCCATATCGTCTACTGCAACGTCAGGGGCAAACCGATACGGGTGCGTCGTATACTTCGATCGGAGTCCCAAATGCTAACTCGTCTTGAGGAGCTCACTCGAGTTGCGACCCTCGCTCCACCAGGACCGTTCTGTTGTCAATCGCTCAAAAATGTCTACTGGAGTAGACGTGCTTCCATCAGTATTGTGTGTTGTGCGACCGTAACGTTATTCCAGTGCGCTTGGAAATGCAAGTCGGAATTCCGTGGCGCATGTTGAAGTGCTAACAAAAAGTTAGTTGGAATGAGGGGTGGGGGGGGCGTTCTACTCGACATACCGATATGCGCCGGCAAAGTACCCTCGGTGACGTGAGTTTCGGGAAAAATCTTTGTCCGCGCAAAGCGTCAAGCACCCAGACGAAGATTGGCATTAACCACATAGGCTGATTCGTATGTAGATTGCCGTATAGTTTAGGGTGAAGCGTTTTTCTACCTTTCGTACAAATAGTGGAGCACATGACAAGGAACCCGCCACCTTTGTCCCCCTGTTGTCCTGGCGGGTGTGAAAACGTTGTGCAGATTGAGACGGTGGCTGGAGCGCAATTGGACAGGGGAGCACATGTCGCTTCTAGGGTGTACACTCATCCTGAGGAGTTCCTGTTAGCCGACGAGGTCGGTATGGGGGACGGTGCTTACCTAGGGAACGCGCGAGCAGACAACGACTTGCCCATGTGCGTACCCTTCAGGAAGCCGCAACAGGGGGATCTTTCTAATGAAGAGAGGCGGTTCAACACAGAGCAGCGGCGTTTCAGGGTCATGGTAGAGAACGCCATAGGCCAGATTAAGTAGTGGAAGGTAGTGGGCAATGGCAAGGCTTTTAGGCACCGACGGGACTTCGAGAAAGACGTCTTCAACGTGTGCGCTAGGCTCACAGCTCGGATCATGAGGGTTCGGGACAGGTATCCGCGCAGCCCGGAGTGGACTGGACGCGTGAAGGAGGCCTGGGAGGTGAAGCTCGGAATCCACCTCTACTGGGACTACGAGGACCCGAAAAGCTATCTTGTCCACAACGAGGGAGAGAGCTACGTGTATGGCGTCGCGAATGAAGCAACCGCTCAGCATCTGCAGCAGTGTCGGTATAGCATTTGGGCGCTTGAAATCTAATAGGCGAACATAGCGCCGGTCGTGGTTGTTTTTCACCTACATGTAGGAAATCTACCTGACGGGCGGATGGGGTCGGACGCCGGCTGGCGTGAACCAGCAGGGTTTAATGGTGTATGCTATTCTACGTGCCTACAAAGATCGGGTTTGATTCGTTGTGTTGTCTGTTGACTTGGTGTCCGTTGGGGTTGGGGCTGGTGTTATCGTACCAGGACTTCGCAGTAGCAACGTGTAGGGTGTGGGAGGTCCCGTCTCCTAGGGACGCGCTATCGATTGACAGAGAATGGATCAGAGGTACGTTCGGCAGCCGGTCCCATTGTTGTTTGTTCCAAGCGGAGCGACTTGTTTTCGCGCCGTTGCGTCGGAAACAATCATCTCAAGAGGGCAGTCCTCAAGCTTTTACCTTTCTGAAAATTTTGCACCTTCCACAACGCAAAGAAGCCGGTGAGCAATGACCAAGGAACTACGTATACATCGCCGAAGCACCTCCGGTCTCAAGTTTTTTTTAATTGTCGTGTAAAAGTACCGCGACCGAAACAAAGCCTTTGGAGTAATGCACCTTCGGAGTAATGCAAACTTCGCAACAAAGCACGAACCACGCATGTTGAGACGGATTGCCCAAGTCGCCTGCCGAAACAGTCTATGTCACAGCTTACAACCCCCCAAAATGTGCTTCATACGTTCGTGTTATGGGGCCGGGGGTATCGAACACGCGATCACAGTGTACGTGGACACGAAATTTTGGCAAGTATCGACATGAAAAACTCTC